TTGGAAATCCTACAAAATATACCTAAAATAAATAAATATAATAAAATGTATACAATAAAAACAAGTCAAAGTTTAAGATTTCATTCAAAAGTTAAAAAGGTGGGTCATGAGCCTAGTCTTAAAAACATAAACGTTCTCTGCAGCCCTGAGCTCCTCCGGCTGCAGATCCACAAACTTACGTCGTAGTACTGAAAAGACGCCTCCTCTCCGTGAGTGTGTGTCCTGACTTTGGGAATGAAAGGAGCTGCTGCTCGGAAGGAGCAAAAGGAGGGTAAAAGCAGTTCTGAAAGATAAGAAGGCCCAAGACCATTAAGACATTTAAAAACCAGTAAAAGAACTTTAAAATCGATCCTGAAACTCACAGGGAGCCAATGCAGTGATTTTAAAACCGGTGTAATGTGGTCCCGCCCTCTGGTCCACGTGCTGCTGAATTTTGTAATAATTGCAAACCCTAAATACTCTTTTTGGGAAGAGCAGAGAGCAGGGCGTTACAGTCGTCTATTGGACTGGTGATAAAAGCATCAGCGTCTCCGTGTTGGCCCGAGAGAGAATGGGGCGGACTCTGGCTATGTTTTTTAGGTGATAAAAAATAATTCTTGTAATGTTCTTAATGTGTGGTATAAAAGTCAGCTCAGAGTCAAAAAATGACGCCCAGGTTTTTCACTTGAGGAGATGGTTAAAAGACTGTGCTTGTAGTTTGGGTAAATTATAGCAAATAGATGTCAAATTTTGGGACCCCTGTTATAATTTTTGTCTGGATAAAACTGAAACTTTGTAGTAATTTTTCTCTGGAGAGTTCAGGTTTTGCCTTTGTAGGACAGTCCTGTGAATGAGACTTTTTTTTTTTTTTTATCAAGACATCTAAACGAGTATTTAGTTTGGATTCTTGTCTCCTTATTATCGATAAGTATCTGATTTTCTGTACTTCTGACAACTCTAACCTCTGGTATCGAGACAGCGAGCCTCCACCAACCCAACCCCTGCCATCCCCGATTTAACCCAACTAAAATTACAACTCTAAAAAACCTCCGTCTCCCTCTGAAAACCTGCCTCCCTTACCCCGTCTCACCTCGGCCTGATGCAAACCAGATGTGAGCGATGGTCCATGGTTAAGGGGGCGATCCATCTCCCGGTCCCGGCTCAGGCCCGTCAGCCGAGGGACGCCCAGACACAGGGCACTTTGTTGGGGCAGACGCGGGTGGGTGCCCCTGGGTGACGCCCGGGCTCCCCGCGTCTCAGCCCGTCATGAAGGTGAGCTTTGTGGACGTGTTTGGACAAGAGAGCGCGGATTTCCCCTCCAAACCGCAAGTGTGTCATACTCCCAGATCCTTCTTATGGAATATAGATTATGAAAGATAACAGTGGTGAAATACGGCGCGGGGAGTGGAGTTTATAGAGCTGAGCAAAAATATCGAAACATTGTGATACTAAATTTGGTGATAGAGTGAGAGATGCAGCTTTTTCTCTTATTAATACCGAAAAATCTGCACATACCTGATATCAGCCAATACGAGAGCAGAGATTGAGAATATATATTTTTAATTTTCTTTAAACACAAATGAAAAAAGCAAACAAACAAACAAAACACAAATGGCATATGGTTAAATATAGGGCTGGGTATCATTAAGAAGTTGCCGATACGATACATATCTCGATACAGTGAGCTTTCGATTTGATACGATATATTTCAAATCAATTTGATGTGGTTCAATAAAAATAAAGGTTAAATCATGGCTGTGATAATAAAAGTCTTTGTTAAACCACTTCTTGTGCAATGTTCATATTAAATGTACCCATTTGAATCAAAACAGTGAAAATGTCAAATGTGTCGCATAAACAAGTTTCTTTGCACTAAACAAACAACATCGCTCATTTCGACCGTGGATTCAAGCGGCCAAAATGAGTTTCCTCCGCAGGGTGGCTGGGCGCTCCCTTAGAGATAGAGTGAGAAGCTCAGTCACACGGGAGGAGCTCGGAGTAGAGCCGCTGCTCCTCCAAGTCGAGAGGAGCAGCTGAGGCTCGGGCATCTGTTCTGGTGCCTCGTGGGCGTCTCCCTCGGGAGGTGTCGAGGAAGACCCAGGACAATCTGGACGGATTATGTCTCTGTGCTGGCCTGGGAACACCTCGGGGTTCCGCTGGAGGAGCTGAAGGAAGTGTCTGGGGTGAGGGAAGTCTGGGAGTCCCTGTTTAGACTGCAGCCCCTGTGATCCGGCCCCAGAGAAGCAGAAGAAAATGGACGGATGGATAAACAAGCAACAAAACTGTAGCACTATAACTAAATATTTTAGTAAAACACATGAATAAATATTCTTGGCGATATATCGATAGAGCAACCCACGATATCGATACTGTATCATCACATTAAACGATACGATATATCAATATTTTGATATTTTTGCACAACCCTGGTTAAATATGACTTAAATCTAAGTTGTAGCTGCAACAGTTGCTGAGTTGGTTGAGTGTTTGTCCACTGATCCAAAAGTTGGACTTTTGAATCATGTTCGGGGCTGATTCCACTGACTCACAGGTTTTTGGTGCTGTTGTTGTGTCCTTGGGCAAGACACTTAACCCCCCTCATTCTCCCAGTGAGTTTGTGTGTGAATGGGTGAAAAACTGTAGCTTGAGACTGCATTTTATTTATAGTTAATAATATTATAATAGTGTTTTTTTTATTTGTTAATAATATTGTAATAGTATTTAATAAAATAAAAAAAAGAAAAGAAGAAGAAAAGGGGCAGGACAGATGTTTTAATAGATCCATGGGTAAATCACTGGTCTACACTGCCCTCTGTTGGTCTGCTTACAAAACTACAAGTGAGTTTTAAAAATCACTTTCACACTTTCATTCATTCAATCTGAGCTTTCACATGAGGTCTGTCCATGTACTGAGAATGAGACAAACTCTGTCTGCAGGTGAAATCTCTGGAGACACAGGTTTAGTTGTGATTTTTAAATGTGATTTATTTATTTAAAACAAGGACAGGACACAGAAAACATTCATCTAAGAGGGAAAAGATTTAGATACAAGCTCCTTTCCATCTGCAGTCCTCGGACAAGTACAAAATGCATTTTACATCAGGCCAACTCTAACAACAATATTTAATCAGTAAAAGTATCTCCTTATAATAATCACAATCCATTTCATCATTAAACATTTAAAACAATCAATATTCATTTATTCTAATTTCCATAAATACAAGATTTAAAATGAATCTTTATCTTCTAAAAATGCTCAAATTCATTGTCATTAAAATCCTCAAAAATGTACATTTACCAAATTCATCAGTATAATTATCTTCCATATATATATATATATATATATATATATATAAATGGCCATCAGGGTTTGGTGTAATCATATTTACATTTGTGAATGAAACAACAACAACACTTTGATCTTTGTACCTCTAGTACATCTCCAAATTCCTCCAAAAAGTAAATACCCAAATTGTTATGTTATGAGCCAAAGAGCTGAAAATATCCCAGAACATATTTTAATAGACACATGAAAAAGAGATGGTCTTCTGTTTCGATATTACATTTTGAGCGTAAAAACTTTTTACATGTGTACACACTATTTAACATTTTCAGTTTTGGGGGGGAATAGGAGATTTGAGGTATAATTACTAGGGATGTAACAATATCCAAATTTCACAGTACAATATTATCACAATATTCATTTCACGGTACGATATTTATTGCGATATTTTGAAGAGGCTGATAATTGTAAGATTGGACACTTTTTTTCTTTTAAAATACCTTGACAAGACTTTGGTGTGAATTATTTCCGTCATAATCCCAAAGATTCACGTCAAAAACATATTTCTTCATGTTGTTTGCGCTGAAATGAATCATGGGATATGTAGTTCCCAATGTTTTTAAGCTGTTGCTTCTATAAAACCATGCATTTAAGCAAAGAAAGTTATAATTCGATATATTGTGAGACTTTTGACGTTACCATATGACGATATTTTGGTTATTGTTACATTCCGAGTAATTACATCTATTTTTTATTTGTTGACTCGTGAAAATAATAATATGTCTTCTCCTCACAAGCTTAGGGAAGCACTCATTGGACAATTACAGATGTTAAGTGTTTAATTAAAGTTTAATGAGCTCCTTTTGATTAGGTATCGGGGCGCATGCGCACACGCACCTCAGGAACACTGGAAGTCAATGGGACGTGCAGCAACAGGTCAGGGTACGATATTATCACGATATACATCTTCACGGTACGATATTTATTGCGATACTGTATTTTAAAGAGGCTAATGTAACTGTAGATGAGACACTTTTTTGCTTTTAAAATCCCTTGACAAGATTTTGGTGTGAATTATTTCCATCATAATCCCAAGAATTCACGTCAAAAACATTTTTCTTCATGTCTGCGCTGAAATGAATCATGGGATATGTAGTTCCTAGGGTTGTAACGATATTAAAATCTCACGGTACAATATTATCACGATATGTATCTCACGATACGATATTTATTGCAATATTTTAAAGAGGCTAATGTAACTGTAGATGAGACACTTTTTTGCTTTTAAAATACCTTGAGAAGATTTTGGCCGTGAATTATTTCCATCATAAACCCAAAGATTCACGTCAAAAACATATTTCTTCATGTTGTTTGCGCTGAAATTAATCATGTGATATGTAGTTCCCAGTGTTTATAAGCTGTTGCTTCTATAAAACCACACATTTAAGCAAAGAAACTTATAATTCAATATATCGTAACAGCCGACGATATTATTGTGAGACTTTTGATGATAAGATATCACGATTTTTCGGTTATTGTTACATCCCAAGTAATTAAATCTATTTTTTACGTGTTGACTCGTGAAAATAATAATATGTCGTCTCCTCACGAGCTTAGAGAAGCACTCATTGGACAATTACAGATGTTAATTAAAGTTTAATGAGCTCCTTTTGATTAGGTATCTGGGCGCATGCGCACACGCACCTCAGGAACACCGGAAGTCAATGGGACGCGCAGCAACAGGTCAGGGCTACGTTCTGTCGGAGCTAACGCTGCAAAAAAAACCTGCGAAAATGTCCAGAGACACGGTACTGCGAGCTCTCATGAACCAGCGGCTCACTGCGGACTACGACGAGGAGCTGTGCCGGTCCCGGGAGAGCCAGAACCAGAGGAAACAACGCCTCCTCGACTCGGTTCTCCTGCGTCCGCGATCCGAGCTGCACAAAGCGGGTGAGCGCCTGCGTGGTGTCGGTGTGTCGGTATGGATGCTAACTCCGCGAGCGCCAGGCCTGTTTTTCCACTGTTTTTCACGGTTAAACTGCACGGCTCGCATCTCGACAGTGGTCAGGAGGGTTTTTGCAGGAGATGAGGTTACATTTTGGGGCGATCGCGTTTCTTTTTTCTTCTGGAGCGATGGGAAAAGCGCAACAAAGCGGTGGGCAGAGCGCAGGTAGACCACGGGCAAAAGGAGGGAGGCCTGTTCGGTCACTTTGTCATGGAAAACCGCTCATTTCACCCTAAAATCAGTCCAGGATAACGGCGGGGAGTGTGTTTTATTGTGTGTTTTAGGTTAAAGAAGTCGTGGTAAAGGTGAGGGTTTGGTTAAGTTTGGGGGAAAAGGCAGACTCATCACTTCTGAGCTGTCTGTCTGTCTGATGTCTCCAACATTTTTCCTCCACTGACCTCTGTTTTTACCAGTTGTTGCGTTGGCACTGGCGACCAAAACATCCCGCAGCTACCTGACGAGATAGTCTCATCAGGAATTTTTTTATTATGGTTAAGAAAGATGTTATAAACCAACATGTGTTGTCTAAAATAGACACATGCAGGTATGTCATCATTCATTATAATTCATTTAGTCTAGTTTGGGTCCTTTTAGGAACCATGGGGACCCTCTGAGAATCTTTAGGGACACAAATTTAGGGTCTGTCACTGTTGTAGCACTTTTATAGATAGAATGCCTTTTATTGTCAGTATACATATGTACAGTCCACACTATACACGTTAGGGGTGTAACGATACACAAAAATCACGGTTCAGTATGTACTTCGGTTTGGTTAATTTTTGGTACAGTTTGGGAACAAAATGCAAAACCGTTTGCTTGTTGTTTATTTGTGTTTTTATTAAACCAACAATTTGTTTTAACATTATACAAATGGGAAAAAAAATAATTGCAAAGTGCTGCTTAGTAATTCTAAAAAGTTAAATAAAATATTCTCAACCAAGCAATAAATGTATGAAATATTACTTTTTTTTATATCCTCGTAAACAGTAAACAAAACTTTTCAAAAAGTAAAACGCAGCACTAACAGTTCCACCATGAAGTTTTACTCAGTCTTCATATTTTTAGCCAGAAAAAAAAAAAAAACTTGTCCACAAATAAACACACACAAATTGCACAAACTCACTCGTGCGCAGCCCTTCGCCAAACCGAACGTCCCGTACCGAAACGGTTTGGCATGAATACATGCACCGTTACACCCCTAATACACGTGCGCAATGAGATTAAAAGTAACTCACCCTCCAGTGCAAACATGCACGTGGGACACTTACAGTGCAGTACAAAAAAAAAAAAAAAAAAAAGACAGAGTACTAAATAAATAGGTACTTAAATACTAGTGCAAGACTTAAAAAAAAAAAGTCTGGGACACCCAAGACTACAAAACTCACTGCACTGTCGTAAATATTGCACTCAATTAAAGGTGCACTGCGCAACTTTTTTGATCGAGGGTCCGCTACCTACTTGTCTCCATGGAGATGTTATTGCTTTGCCTGGAATCTTCCATGGTATGATATTAAACATTTCCATCTAGCATTTATTCATTACGGGTGTTTCTATCGCTCAAAAATACAGTAATTTCTTCTGTGAATAGGGCCAATCCTCTACAGATCTGAATTGTAGCGTTGAGCCGTGAACCTGCTTGTCTCCTTCGTGATAGATGAGTTTAATACACGAGCCTCCAAACCTGTAGCTCGGGAGCTATCAGTATCTCTCCACCCCCTTCCAAGTAAGTAAGGCGCCAAGGGAATTCTGAATTACACCATTGTGCTCAGTAACAAAAATTTGGTTAATTACACGCCTGTTACTACTGTACATGTATCATTTTGAAGCCCTTATAAATAAATAACATATAATAAATACATAAATAATAAAAATGTGCACTAATAAATGGACAAAGGTTTATGTTTTATAGGCGTCTAACTGTACCCAAAGGCTCACCCTCTTTCTTATAATCGTCTCAATTTCTTGCAGCGGCTAAAATGAGTAGCTCTCTGGCAGTTTTGTTTCGTAAAGGAGCTCACCGGAGGAAAAAGACTGGAGACTAGTAATAAAACATTAATATTAGTAATAGTATAATTACTAATAATAATATTACTGAAAGTGCCGAGGTTTTGTATCTATTGATTTATGTGTAGAGCCATGAATCTGAGCAATCAAATCACTGAAGCTCTAGTGTGTCCTGTGGGTATCATTCAGAAGTTGCCGATACGATACATATCTCGATACAGTGCACTTTTGATTCGATACGATATATTTCAAATCGATTCAATATGGTTCAATAAAAAATAAAGTCATGGCTGTGATACTAAAACTCTTTGTTAAACCACTTCTTGTGCAAAGTTCATATGAAACACAAACACTTTAATCATCAAAACAAAATGTCAAATGTGTTGCAAAAAGGAGTTTCCTTCCTCTAATCAAGCAACAAAACTGTAGCACTGTAACAAAATAATCTAGTAAAACATACCAAAAAGTACTCTTAGAAGTTACTGCTGCCAAAAGATACCAAAAACACTTCCGATCCAATCAGGCTGTAGATTGTAATCAAATGTAAAAAAATTTATGAATTTCCCCTCGGTTTGATCTCAGTGACTAAAAAGTATAATACGATGTCACGCTGTGGAGTGTGTGGGCGTTGTGAAAAACAGAAATCATCAGGGCAAAACCAGTACAGACAAACCGACAGTGTTTACTAGGAATGCAACGATATCCAAATCTCACGGTATGAAATTTGTTGCGATATTTTAAAGAGGCTGATCTAATTGTAGATGGGACAGTTTTTTTGTTTTTAAAATACCTTGACAAGATTTTGGTGTGAATTATTTCCATCATAATCCCAAGAATTCAAGTAAAAACATGTTTCTTCATGTTGTCTGTGCTGAAATGAATCATGGGATATGTAGTTCCCGATGTTTATAAGATGTTGCTACTGTAAAACCATGTATTTGACCAAAGGAACTTGTGATTCGATATGTTGTGACAGCCCACGATATTATGAGACTTCGTCCTTATGTTATTTTCCTCCTTGACTTAATGAACCGAAGATGAATTTATTCCGTAAATGGAGCCCTAGAGCCACGTAACTTCTCTCTTCCTTCAGCATGTCTAGAAGTCCAAATATTTGTGCGATGGTTTGCGTCTTCCTCTGACTTTTGGTGCGGCCGCAGGAGGTTTTGTCGGTGCAGAACGTTTCGCCGACATTGTGGGTTTTGTCGGGGAGAAAACTTGCAAACATACAGCACTTCAGAATCACACCGCTAGAGTTCGAACATTTATGTAAATTTGTCAAGCTGAACACATTCTGTACTGAACAGGAGACACGGTACAGACTAGATTGATCGACAATGGTCTACAGCAGCGGTGTCAAACTCATTTTGGTCCGGGGACCGTATCCAACCGACTTTGATCCCAAAGGGGCCGGATCAGAAAACTCATGTCATATAAACCCCAAAAATAACAATAAGTTCAAATATTTGTGCAGAGAAACACAAATCTATTACAGAAATCTTTTTTAATTGATGAACTCTTTCTTTTACAAAATATAATATTATGAACAACCTGAAACTTTAAGAAAAATACAATTTCAACGCAATGTTTTAACATGAACTTGTTTGCAAACAGGAATAAGTCAATTTTTCATGGAAAATCCTGCACTCGATGTCCACTTTTCTCATTTTTGACATTTTTCTGATGAGGGTGTCACGGTCAACAGTCAAAACGATCGTCCATTTAAGAGCGTTTGGAAAGAGACAAGTCTTCATTTGTGCTGCTCTGGTGGGAGGGGCCACGTACAGAGACGCTGGAGACGCTGATATGTTATTTTAATTATATTTTCTATTAAAATATAGTTTAGTAGAAAATCAGCCGAGGTCCAGATTAAAGGTCGTGGATTAAAGGTCTGTAACAACAAAACAAAAAAAGAATGCAAAATTGCTTTAAAAAAAATCCGCAAAACACGAAGGAAAGAAAGATGGTGAGCGACGACTGTATTTTCCAATCTAAGTTGAAAAATATATAGGACAAACTTTTTGGAAATTGGCAATTTTGCCTCAGGAGATCTTGTGACGCACGATCTTTTCCCCTCTGTGTTATTTACAAAGAGTTAATTTGAAGTGGAATATCGTATATCAAGCTGCAGGTCCCACAATGCACCGCTCCACAGGGATGGGACGACAAAACGGTGTCAAGTAGAAATGACACAGTTTCAGTCGGGATCATTTCAACAGCCGTGCTCCTCGTAGCTTTGTGTGTGTGTGTGTGTGTGTTTGTGTAAGTGTGTCATGTCAGTGCGACTCTGAGCTGCACTTTCAGGTCATAACACTAAAATATCACCACGGCAACGGCCAATAAAACAGAGCGTCGGGGGCAGGCGGGGGGACGGACACAGAGGTGCAACAGGCAAACTCAGGAAACGGCGAAAATAACGCGAAGACTTTATTACTCGCCTCTTGTAAAGCTGAACATTTTATTATCCGTACATTGTGTCCTCGGCAAATAATGACACCCAGTCTACAAAACGTCGCTGTTAATTCAGTTTAGTCAAGTTTTTAAAGGTGCATTGTGTAACTTTTCTGGTGGAGGTGTTATTGCTTTGTCTGTCTTTGTCATCTTATCTTCATGGAGACTGAAAAGACCAATTTACAGGTCAGGTCTGTGTGTATTTTCGAGCTGTAAAACCACTTGTGATTCAGTGAGGTAGAGCTGTTTAGTGGACTGTGGAACTTTCCAGGCAGAGCAATAACATCTCCATGGAAACAAGCAGGTGACGGACGCCCAAGCAAAAAGTAGTCGTGTCTGTTTACGTTCTTACAGCGCACAGATCGGGGGTGAAGCTGCAGATAGTGACTCTGCTTCCTGTGGATTTTATCTACGGCTTCCTGTGCTTTAAAAATCATGAATCTGAAGTATTGCGCCACATTTCACAAATAATAATAACACACATTTAAAT